AGGCCTTGCTGGGGTCACGGCAGAGCCCCTCACAGCCGCCTGGCTCCGGGAGAGAGCAGTAAATACCACTGGCATCGCTGCTTTGCTCATCAGACTTCCCTCCCACTTTTAGAGAGGAAAAAGAGTCCTGCCAGCCTCGCTGCATTCTACTGGAGGCATTTTTGTAAAGTGCTCTTTTTTAACATCAGTAAGACTCAAGCTTTCTCCTTGTTGAAAACTACCCTGATGATGGAAAGCTTTTTTCTGGTTTGATAATGAGGTATATTTTTCACCCATTACTCTCTTGACTCTTTAAATAGCTTTTATTAGTATAATCTATCATCTTCAGCTCGCTTCCCACACACAGAGAAAAATATCCCATAGAGAATAGCACTCATAGGCATTTATTAGTTACTATGAGTTTTATTACTGCATTTCATACCAAGCTTTAAAAAATTTAAACGTGCGTTGGCCTCTTAGAAGAGAAGCTGCGCTCTCGCTAAGCCATACCTCCGAGGAAGCCCACCGAGCCAGAACACGGTAATTCAGCTGGCGGGTGCAGGAAAGGATTTAACCCGTACTCAGTACATTACGGCCTCTAGTGAGGATCTGGCACGAGAAAAAATCAGGCTTAACATTACTGTGTGCTCACCAGGCTGAAGTTCACCCCCACCGAGGGGGACGGTGCGATACACCTGGAGCTCGAGCTGCGTGAACGACCGCTCCCACAGAAGCAGTGGGGCGCCCAGCCAGAGGTGTCTGGGAGAGCACCCGGTTTGTCCGCGCCCGTCCGAAATCACCGGCAGCGCTGCCAGCATGAGGGAACCTCCATGAAAAGGGACTTGCTTCATCCCCACAGAACGGACGCAGCGGTTCACGTTTCGGGGGCGGCTCTTTGGCTCGCCTGAACTACCTGTGTCACCAGTGGTTCAGCCGTGAGCCGGGAACTGACTGGAAATCAGCTCGTGAGCATACCAGTCGCTACCGCCTCGAACAGCGGGCTTTACCCCCCTTGTTGGCAGAGAGCGCTCGTGATGCCATTGCTGTTCATCAGGCTTTACATCTCGGATTAACAGCCCTGCTCCTCGGCCGTTAGGCGGCTGATCGGGTGATAGACGTTACTGTAAGGACCACCACGTGCTGAGAAACTACACGCACCTCAACAGAAGCAAGGATCTTGGCGCTAGTTATCACCAGCGATGGCCCTTCGTTCTACAGAGATGATGAGGCAGATTTCGCTCTCCATGACGCTGATGTAAATGCATAACAATTCTGGCGTACCCGCAACGTGGCTCTTCCCGGCTCTCGCAGCCAAGGCCGGGCTGCCGTACCCCGCGGTACGGGCGCCTTCTCCCGCCTGGCTCCGACGAGCTGCCCTCAGCAGCAGAGCTGGCTGCAGCCATAGGGACGAAACCTTTCACCTGCCCTCCCAGACACAACCTCAGTGATTTTTTATTTTTTTTAATGTGGCCCATTGTGTCTGATAAATGACTTCTTTTAAAATAAATGTTCCACGTTTTCCACCTCCTCCACCGATGAGAAGCGAATAGAGGAATGGGGACACTTCTGGCAGTCAGGAATCTGACTCCAGGGGTGTAAGTTTTGCTCCTGAAGTATGGAATTGTGAGAAAGCCATTTATTGGGTAAACCATTGTTGAAGTGAGATGTGGTGAAATTTTGCTTGCCATCATTTAGCTTATCAATAAAAAAAAATCTTGTGTTTCTGCATGGATTTTTTTTCTTTTCTCTTTTTGACACTGAAAATTCCACTGAAATATAAACTCGAAGCCACTCTCCTGCCCTGGAAATACTTTACAAAGCAATTCTTGGAGCATTGCCACAGACTAAGGATGGAGCATCAGCGCAGATCTTCGTTTTTATGGTCTTTGATACAGTTCTTCACAAGAGATTGGTAAGAAAAGAGCTGGAATTATGGATTGCAATGGAAAGTCAAAGAGCAGTGATGTTATCTGCAATGGAGTTTAGTCGAATCTGCTTATTTCAGCACCACTGCTCAGAGGCAGGTGTGACTGTCCCACGCAAATCACTACTCATGAGTTTCAGCAGCACTTTGCCTATGCAAGACGAGACGAACCCGGCGATTATCATCCCGGCTTCCCTCCTCTGCAGCAGGCATTTGCGCCGTGACACACGAAGCCAGCTGCTGGACACTGGCTGCTGTAATAGAAGGTAATTTGCAGGATGGTATGGGCTGCCTTAATTTTCAACGTGGCAAAATGCGAACAGCTGACCCAGCCTTGGGCCAGTGCTGTTTCATCAGCAAACTGGAAAAGGAAGTAAGTCATGAGTCATACAAAACGCTGCAGATGATAGAGAATTATTCAGCTTAGTCAAAGCCACAGGAGTCTGGAGGGACGTTGGAGTAACTTAAGAACGTGAAGCAGAGCAGCACAGTGGCGGCTGAAACTCTTTGTAGCTAAAAAGATGAGATTGCGGCATTTACCTGGAAAGAAAGTATGATTTATACAGAGTTCACTAAGGGACTGAAAGAAACCTCCACGGCCTCCACCCTTCCTCTTCCCCCCGCCCCGTCCTCCGGAATACTCCGCAGCCTGCTCGCTAGGAAGCCCCGCAAGAATCATGGGTGGTTTAGGTTGAATTTCTGTGTGAGACCAGGTAGATACGGGACTGAAACCCAAACCTCTGGCATTTCCCTGAGTGTCTGAGCCATAAGCCCTTGGACTTCGAATTGTGCTTTTATGCAAGAGCAGACAGAGCACGTGGAGCAGCCACATCACAAAGGGCTGCCGTGGCTGCCACGGCGCCCTGGACGGAGCCCGGTCCATCCAGACAGCTCTCGCTGAGCCCCTGAGCGAAAGGTTACGGCCTCTGGGATCCCTCCGGGACACCAGCTGGGTACCGCACTGCCCAGGATATGCTGCGACGTGTGACCAGGCACGCGATTCTGAGACCAAAAAATCAAGTGAGATGGATTTTGGGCTCCCTTCAAATCCCAGGTCCACTTTTGTACCCCACCCCAAGGTGCTCCTATCAAGCCAGAGCGTTAAGGAGCGGTAACGGTCCGTTTCTCAAACCCGTTACCAGGGTTATACCCCGCAGCGATGCGGTTAAGAGGCGGCCATCCTCTACAGGGCCAAACAGTGCCTAGGTTGGACTTCCAGAACGGGCTGGCAGTTTTTTAAGGCACGGTCAGAAGTCTGCCACAACGGCAGCGGGGCTGCCCCAGCCGACAGTGCTCGGTGAGAAAAGGGACCCTCTGGGCTGCTGCGCTACGCGGCATGGCCAAAACCACGGCCCGAGGGAAGGGACGCGGGCAGCGTCCGTGGGCAGCGCGCCCTGCCTCCCCCAGGGAGGTCAGACCGGCCTGCTGCCGTGCGGAGGCTGCTCCCCAGGGACGAGGGCTGCTACGGGACAAACGCTCGAGGGTTTGGGTCACTGGTTACCTGCTGGTTCAGTCACAGCCTGCGCGCGTTCGTCTGCACCGAGTGACTAATGGAAGTGAGGAGGGTTTTGAGATTGAGAACCAGAACTGGAGCGGCAGAAAGACTGCGGCAAGCACAGCCGCCTGCTTTAACGGAGAATCCAGCGGTTTCAGAGAGAAAAATCAGTAAGACAAACAAATCTTGGCTGGTTTCCCCACCACATTCCCTCTCCGAAATGGGGATAAAGCACACACCTGAGATTTTCTAAGTGAAAGCCAATGTCGTTTCAAGCAAATAGCTGCCTCCCACGCAAAAGCTCTTCAGATAGTGCAACATCAAAGAGGAGACCCAGCAGCAGACGATCAGCCCAACTAAGCGCCCCCTTGGCGAGCAGCTCTTTAGGGAGAGCCAGCCGAGCCATAAAAGCTGCTGGGGGTGAATGACATCAATGCCATTTACTGGCCTTCTTCAAATAAAGACCTCAGCGTAAGGAAATGATTTAAGAGACAGCTAAACTCTGCTAGAGTCATAATTAGCAAATAATAGGTTCCATTACACATAGTGGTGCATACGACCAATTCAGGACAACGACAGAACAAGCTCTCCTTTTCTGCCCCAAAACCACTTTATTAACATTACTTATGAATTCATATTTAGAAAACATTGCAGGTGAAATGAACTGAAATTCAGACATGGCTCATACAAAACATAAAAGAAGGTGCAATAGTATCACCATAGGCATCACCTACCGTAAGAACTACAATAGTGCCTCGAAAGAGGGATTACAGGAGGTTTGCAGGAGCTGCCGCTTTCCTGCTTTAACAGCCACCGCACAAACACAAATACCAAGATCCTCAGCAGATGCAGTCAGTGTAGGCTCCACTAAAACCACCAAAATGCTGACTTACACCACACGAGGGTCTGGAGTGTAACTTGGCAGAAATTCCAAACGTCATGAAGCAGCAACGGCCACATTTCCACTTTAATACTCGGGCGGCCTATTAACTGCCTTTGTCAGAGTGTTTATCAAAGCATCCCCAGTCCAAATTTCCTCTTGTGGGGTGAGCCAGATTTAAGTTTACGCTTCATTTACTGTTATGAAGGCTTCGGAAAGCCGTGACTATGGCCGTAACGGTAAGGGACAGCCGACTCAAACAGCAGTGCCGAAGTGTGTGAGACGGCAGGGCAATAAACCCCTGAACACGCTCCTGAAAGGCTCCTCTTATTTGGCAAGCAGAGGATGCCAAAAGAACCCATGGTAGGAGTTTAGCTTTGTACTCTCCTTAGTTGTATGAAGAGACAATTGATTTTTCAAATCTTAATTGATTCGTAACAGCTGAAATATTCTCCCAAGGCAACACTCCCCCATAAAAACATGGCAACTTAAATGCCTGGCTTTGCCAAAGTGTTCCTGCAAAGACCCCAGAGCAGAAGAACCAAACTTAGGTTCATTCTTCCTCTATCAGATGCAGTTCTTTATAAAAGGTAAGTTGGAAATAAAAAGCAGTTCTGAAAGACAGAACTATGTCAGTGTAGAAAACCGTGTGCAAACTGTCTTACAAAAGAAGAACGTGGAATCAAAAGAAGGTGTTTCAAACATCCAAGTGCACGACAGCTTTAAGACTTCGGGTTGTACGTCTGAGGCTTTTTAACCAGTTTTCTCATCATTTTTCGGCGGAACACATTCGCTGGCTTGTTGATTCTTGGTTTCTGTGTCCCTGCTGAGGAAACAAAGGAAGCAGTTAGGGAAACAGCAGGACAAAACTGTTACTGCTCTGTATTGTTTGGGGTTGGTTTGTTTCATGTTATGCTGTTTAAGCGGTTGATCCAATAATAACAAACGTATCAGAAACTGGAAAATGTGTTCCGGGCACCCTGTTCTCACACACTGCAAGGTCTCAGCGTGGCCACCTTTGGCACTGGAGTCCTACTTTGCTGCCCTTTTCCTGGGCAAGCATCAAAGTCTTTTCTAGCTGTCCTGCAGCAACAGCAGAATGGAAGTAAACACACTGCCCTGTCTGAAAAAGAAAAAAAATCACTATCGACGTATTCCTCTGAACAACAGTGGGGTAAAGTCTAAAATGGGAATGAAAAGGCAAAACGTTTTGGGTTACTGCGCAGCGCTGGGTTTCACACAGAAGCTGCAGCGTGGCCACAGACAGCCGGGGTTGCCGTCCCCAGAAATGCTTACGAAGGCTGCACGAAACCCTGCGGGCAGCTCAGAAAACAGGCACCGGGCAAGTCCGGCCGAGGATCTTTGTCCTTGTGCTGCTACCTGCCGGCACGCAGAGCCCCTCGGCCAGTTCCCGATCCTCTCGCTGTCGCCCCAACACATTTATTTTCTTTTCCAATATAAACTTTTTTTAATTAAATGAATGAGAAACCTCTTCACTCCAACAGCTGGAGGTCAATTCAGACAGCAGGGGCGTGTTGGCACAGGGCACTGAATTCAGCTGGAGACTCCAAAGGGCCGCAGGAAAGATGCTGGGGAGGGAGTCATGGGAGCGGGAGAGGAGGAGTGGCTTCAGCTGCCCCAAAGATTTGCTTAGTGCTGCTGTACACTCCCAAGCTATAGAAATGAATATGTATAGCACAACATTAATTAGCACTAATTATGCCCTTAACTACGGGCTTTGGTCGCACCAAGCCTCACCAGTTGTGAAATCCACCAGCTGGTGGAAGAGCTTGTGATGGACCCTTCGGGCTCGGCTCCCCGGTGCTCCGGCCCGGACAGAGCCACCCTTTCCTCACCGCTCTCCTCCAGAGGAGAGGGGGAAGGCGGCACCCAGGGGGGCCCGGCCGGTGCGGGCAGGGGCAGCGTGGAGGCGAGGCGCTGAAGAGGAGCTGCCTTCCTCCCCTCTCCCCCCACACCTGGGCTGCAGCCTGGCCTGGCCATTCCCCAGGTAGTCACGGATTAGGCAATCACAAGCATCTCAGGTGGACTTGGCAGCTATTACCGACTCTCTTAGAACACTAGAGCGGCAGAGACACACTCTGACCTGTCACCCACAGAATTAGTACTGTCGTGACTAACTGGCGGCCCGTATTTTTACTTCTGAGGGCCGTGCTGGGGCTGCAATCCTTGCCCCAGCCCCGGATTTCCAGCCCAGAACTGAAGAGTCATCTCCTGGCTGCCCATCTTACAGGCGAAGTACTCAGACCTTGTGCACACCTCACGTGTAAAACAGCTACTTTGGGGACGTTTGGTTTTCCCCCAAAGGCAACGGACATGCTAGACACAGCCTTACATTTTTCTCCCGTTAGTATCCATTTTTCATATGTTGCGCCGTGTCTGCTTCCTGAGTGCCCTGGGGATCAACAGGGAATTATGCTTTGCTCTGTCTCACCGACTTACGTATCAAACTGAACTGGAGCATGAGAACCTGCAATAGCTGGTGTGAACACACGGCTGCAGGTAAAAGCACAGCTCTCCTGACTTACAAGCACAGCCAGTAGCTGTTTTGAATAAAACCATTAAGAAAAATCAACGTCATTCCCAACCCTTCCCCCCACGGCCACAGAAACAGCCGATCTTTAGATGGGAAGAAGAATTCTTTAGTGATGGGAATGGGAAACGGGAAGGGGCAGCAGGGCATGAAGGGAGGGTGGTGACTGCTGGAAACGCGAAGGGGAAAACTAAATTGATTTCACAACTCACTTTACCCCTACTTAAAAACACCTAGAAGAAAGTGACACCTCAACCAGCGTTCGTGCTGGTGCTGAGCAGTTTAAAGAGTGGGCTCTGGCGAGTTAATTAGTCCTTTTGTGCGCCTACACTTCCTTCAAAAACGGTGTAACCACCCCGCACGGCACTGCCCTCGTCGTCAGGATTTAGTGCTGCATCTCAGTTTTCCTCCCTTTGGAAATGTGGAGTCCAGAATGCAAACCGCACCCGCCTGTAGCGAGCCAAGGTGAGAAGGACCCTGTGAACACCCGCTCCTGGCATTCAGATCGCCTCCCTGCCTGTGACTGACAAACGCAGAAAGCCTTACCCCTTCTGCAGACGTTGTAGCAATCCGTTTCGGTAACGAAGTTGTTGGCATTGCCACCGCAGCCGGTGTACTTGAACTCCTTGCAGGACTTGGTCTTGGCGTCATAGTAATAGCGAGGCACAGCGGAAGAGCAGAGTCCTTCATCCTTCGGGCTGTAGCACAGCAAGGGACCAGCTTGAAAACACGAAGGGACAAAAAAAAGAGAGAGAAAGAGACAAATCACACAAATGTAACCTCTGTGCCTGGCTTCTTAAAATTCACCCTGCAACAAATCTCGTGGTTAAACAGCTCTTGTTCCCATGGGCTTGACATGACTGCTCTCGGTGAGCTCAGAGACTTACTGCATCCCACTCCTGTGAGTTACGAGTTTGAGAAAGCAACAGACAGTCCCAGAAAAGAGGACTACCATCCCCCAAGGGAAATTCATCAGCTCTCCCCGTTTGTGGTGCCACACATACGACAGCCGAGATATTCACAAAGTCTGGCCAGAAGTCTCATTCCACGTATATGGGGATATCACAGCCACCCCAGCGGCACCACCTCTGCAGAGGAACAAGGCACTCTGCCGCTTATCCTCACTACGAGCGTGCCAGCACATCCTGCCCGCTCGCAGCAGAAAGTACAAGCCCCACCGCTTTCCTCACCACCCATCATGCTCCATTTTGCCTCAATGGGATTTTACTGTCCTTGCTGGAAACCTTTTACCAATTTACTGGATGTGCAGTACAGAAATTAAAAACAATTCAGCATTCACCTAAGAAAACGCTGACCATCTGCCACCAGCCAAACATAACTGTCTCGTCAAGCCCTAATGAAGCTCAGGCAGCGACAGCTTTTGCGCATTCTGGTAGATCTCTCCTCTTCAAAGATCCCACCTTGCTCTGGGTGTCAGCCTGGCGTTTATGGCAACACTTGCTATGGTCACCTGCTCGTAATTACCACCTCTTGTCTTTAAAGCTCGCACGGAGAGACAGCAAACAGTCATGTCAGGCGAAAAACTTTTATCAGAAGTCAAGCTGGCAAGTGCCAGCCACCTACCTACCAACCCACCTACCACCATCCCTCAGGCCTGGATTTTAGAGGCGATTCTGCTTCCCATTACAGCGTCACTGCCCTGAACGCAGCTGCCCCGTCTCGTACGTCTGCCCCAGCACAGCGCTCCAGCCTTATCTCCCTTCACGTGCCACACGTACAGCCCTCTAGCAGTCAGGAGGTCGGCTGGGCGTAGCTGTGGGCATATTTAAGGTCACAATATTACACTAACGCAGCAGTTTTGCTCTTTCAGTAACAGCTGAGGCAAGTGACACATGAAAGCCTGCAGACAACATAAGCATCTGCTTCGCAGAAGTCTTCAAAAATACCACTGTATGGGTATCCAGAGGAAAATACCAAATAAGATATCATCTTTGTGTCGCTTTCAAACCATCTATTTTATTAAAAATTTGGAACAGCCATTACTTTTCTCTGGCAGACAGCGGTCCACACAAGACTGCAAATCTCTGAAGTTGTTGTCGTTGCCATAGCAGCCGCCGTAGATGAACTCCTCGCACCGCATCGAGCTCAGGTTGAAGGCGTATCTTTTTAGGTGACTCCTGCAAGGTCCCCCATCGGCCTCCATCCGGCATAGCTTGGGCACTTCTGCATCAAAAAAAAAGAAAAAAAAGAAAAAAAAAGA